TTTGTTGTGTGTCCCAGGTACATAAGAACGTTCTATGTACTATAGGATTTTTAAGGGTGAATTTGTTGTGTGTCCCAGGTACATAAGAACGTTCTATGTACTATAGGATTTTTAAAGGTGAATTTGTTGTGTGTCACACGTAAATAAGAACGTTCTATGTACTATAGGATTTTTAAGGGTGAATTTGTTGTGTGTCCCAGGTAAATAAGAACGATCTATGTACTATAGGGTTTTTAAAGGTGAATTTGTTGTGTGTCACACATAACTAAGATCGTTGTATGTACTATAGGATTTTTAAAGGTGAATTTGTTTCGTGCCGCATATATATAAGAAAACTGTATACAGCGTCTGTAGTTTTTCTTTACAGAATAATTTATTTTATGTTCGAAAAATTGTGTCTTGTTTTTAAAAGGTTTATATGGCAGATTGCAATTTAGTTGAAGTTTGGAATTTTACTTACTTGTCCGCCCCCCCACCCCCGTGGCACAGCGGTATGTCTGCGGACTTACAACGCTAGAAACCGGGTTTCGATACCCGTGGTGGGCAAAGCACAGATAGCCCATTGTGTAGCCTTGTGCTTAACTTCAAACAAATCAAATCAAACTTACTTGTCCACCTACTGGGTGTCGTTCAGACGATGTTTCTATTTATTCGCGCAGGTTTTTACCTGATAAAGACCTGCGCTTGGTGGTTAAAACGTCGTCTGTAAACAAACTCCTGATAAAGACCTGCGCTTGGTGGTTAAAACGTCGTCTGTAAACAAACTCCTTATAAAGACCTGCGCTTGGTGGTTAAAACGTCGTCTGTAAACAAACTCCTTATAAAGACCTGCGCTTGGTGGTTAAGACGTCGTCTGTAAACAAACTCCTGATAAAGACCTGCGCTTGGTTGTTAAAACGTCGTCTGTAAACAAACTCCTGATAAAGACCTGCGCTTGGTGGTTAAAACGTCGTCTGTAAACAAACTCCTTATAAAGACCTGCACTTGGTGGTTAAGACGTCGTTTGTAAACAAACTCCTGCGCTTGGTGATTAAGACGTCGTCTGTAAACAAACTCCCGATAAAGACCTACGTTTGGTGGTTAAGACGGCGTACGTACACAAGTTCGAACAGTTTAAATTTGTTCAGGCTTTTATTGTTAAGTTAATGCTAGAATTACTGATGACTCCATCGGCTTTTTAAGCCCATTTGTTAAACTGGCCATGCATCAGATTGCTTGTTAGTCTTAGCTTTTGCTGGTCCAAAGTAATATGTGTATCACATATTTCACCAAATTTCTTTTTTTTACTAGCGTTTTATACACCGAGTGCCATAGCTGGCAAAACGTAGAGTGGCTTAACATCAAGTAATACATGGACCTTTCAGGTATCAGAAGTTCTAAAACAGGGCTGTAGAGGGCTAGAGTAAAATTTTCTCTTGTTTTATGATTTAACTATTGTGTTGTTCTGAATGAATAATTACTACCATTATCTTGTGTTAGAAAAAAGATAGACATCGGACATCGTTTGTCGAAGTTCAAGAACCCAACACGCAGTTTTTTTGGTAACATGGATGACGATATTGAAGCATATAACTTTAGCAGCGTCAAGAACATGTTCAATTTCAGCTATAACCAAGCCATGGAGATCCTGAAGGAACACACGGTTCGAAGCCGGGTTTTTAGTAGAACAGTCGAGGCAACCTTTGTGTCGTGCTACACGTTACTCATTGCGACCGGAGTCTGTGTCAATCTGTTAATTTTGTTTATTATTGTCACCAAGAAAAGCGTTTACACTCATCGAAACCTATTCGTCGTTAACCTGAACATCTCGGATCTTGCGTTGTGCCTACTCTGCATGCCTTTCACCCTGGTGGAATTGATATTACGAAACTGGCCCCTAGGAGAGTTCCTGTGCAAAGTTACGCCTTTCGTCCAGGCGTCAACAATATTCGTTTCAGCAAGCACCATCTCCGCTATTGCCATTGATCGCCATTATTCTATACTTACCATAAATCCGGCAAAGACGCAGAACGGAAAACGTCGAGTCGTCGTGTGCACGTGTGTGATATGGCTCGTATCCATGGTTCTCTCTCTTCCAATTTGTATTGCAAAAAGACTGGAGAAAGTTGGATTGCCAGGATATGTTATTTATGAAAAATGTATAGAAGAGTGGCCATCCAGCTCCAGCAAACTCGTCTACTTGTTAATAACTTTAATTGCTCAGTTGGCCATTCCAGCTACCGTGTTGCTGACCACCCACTTCCGGGTCAAGGCCCATTTGAATTTCACAGTTATGAAGCAATCAGGGCGCCGTAGCACCCTGAAATCCGAAAGGACACAGAGGGAGCTACGGAGGAAGCAGAGGGCGACCATGGTTCTACTGAACGTGTCGCTAGTTTTTACCATCAGCTGGCTTCCCTGGAATGTTATTAACCTCGTGGCAGACCTTTATCCGACCATCATGTCACCCAAGAACCTCTACATGGTCTTCGCCATCTGTCATCTAATCGCAATGAGTTCTGCCACTTCCAACCCCATCATGTACGGCTGGCTGAACACTAACATCAAAAGAGAACTGGTGCGGTTTTGTGAGATGCTTAGCAGCGCGTTGCTTTCCAGTAATTCGAAACGAGAAAATTCGGGAGAGTCTGTAAATGCCGTCCCCCTTTCCCAACTCCCCCAAAGAGATAGAAATAATTAAAACAACAACAACTAATAAACGAGAATAGCCTTCTGTTAAAAAATCAAGCGATAAAACTAGAATTTCGAAGCAAGTTATATATAAAATCCATGAATGATGCAGATATTCTGGATGAGGGAGACTCTGAACGATAAGAACTGTTGCATTAACAACAAGTATTACATATGTGTGTGTGTGTGTGTGTGTGTGTGTGGGTATACATACACGTCAAATCTGTAAACATGCGGCCCAGCATGGCCAGGTGGTTAGGGCGTTCGACTCGCAATCTGCGGGTCGCGAGTTCGAATCCCCGTCACACCAAACATGCTCGCCCTTTCAGCCGTGGGGGCGTTATAATGTTACTATCAATCCCACTATTCGATGCTAAAAGAGTAGCCCAAGAGTTGGCGGTGGGTGGTGATGACTAGCTGCTTTCTCTCTCTCTAGTCTTACAAACAAACAAACTGTAAACATGCACACGCATCAATTCAGTTTGGAATTAACCCTGAATTAATGCGATGATAATGAAATGTGTAATAGTTGGATCTTTTTATTCCAAGGTTTTTAACTTTCTTATGGTATTCCAGTGATATATGAAAATATTTTAACAATATTTATTAATCAATGTATTGTTGTATTTGTAGGTCAATAAGAACAGAGGTAACATAATGATAATATTATATCTATCTCTTTTGTAATGTGTAATTGGTAAGTAGAGTTTGCCATTCTTGTTCTGAATAGAAATGTTGCCCGGCATGGCCAGGTGGTTAGGGCCCCGGCATGGCCAGGTGGTTAGGGCGCTCGACTCGCAATCTGAGGGTCGAATCCCCATCCCACCAAACA